AAGTGTTATTCATTTTAATAGGAACACATCATTATACACAGGAGCCAATAAATTATTTTATATTTGTGACATTTTGAATAGCAATAACACTGTACGGCAAAATCAACGTTTTTTCTGGGTATTGGACCAAACCATTTTTTTTAAGAGATTGAGTCATAGGTAAAAAAGTAATTTCTCCGTTTTTCGAAGTTAGCCTCCGAAATCGAGATATGGGCCTTCGAAGTTCGAAATTGGACCATTGGTAAAAAATAATTTTTAATTACTGTATGTAAACTACTAAAAAAAGTAAAAACATAGTCGTGGTACGCCTTTTTCTCTTATTTAAACGATATATAACTGATTCTATGTTATAGGTGCTATAAAGGGGTTTAAGGTTCGAAAAATTAAAGACCTTATTTTTCAAACAAGTTTAAACTGATTTTTTAAAAATTTATATCGTCGTAAACGTGATTAAACCCGCTTTATTGTGATATGCAATTTGTGTACTTCGTATGTATAAATCTGAGAAAAAACATTCAAAAGGAAAAAATACTTTTTTTTATAAAAAACATATTTAAAAAAAATGGCATACGGTTTCACTATTAGTTCATAAACTATAAAAATGTTATTCATTTTAACATGAGTGTACACATCATCGTACACAGGAGCCAATAAATTATTTTACATTTATGACATTTTTGAATAGCAATAATGAGATCATTCCTATTTTCAGTGTTTAAGTAGTCAAAGAATTCTACACCTTTCATTTTAAAATTACTTTTAATTTGAAGTTCACTTACAAAAATTTTAATTAGAAGCCGGTTTCTCTATTTGCGCCAGGAAACAAACTTTATTCTTAAGATCCTCTCATACTGTAAAAAAGTACCAATTTTTAAGGAGTTTATCTATATTTCCTCATGGCTTAAATCATTTTTCAACTACGCAAAATCTGTGAAAGACTATGAATTCGCTAAAAAGAGTATCTAACTCTATGTCTTGTATGCAAAACTCTTTTACAGAGTCAGTAAATTGAAAAAAAGGAGTTGTAAGTTATAGGCAAAAGCCATTCGAATATTGAAATTTATTGTTATTAAACTGAAAGTTATTTTCGAGATTACTAACAACACTCGACAAAAATGTAAGCCTTCTTTTTAAATAATTTAAGCTCCATCATATAACGACCCGGCGATATGCCCATAAATTTATTAATCTTTTTGTTGTATTAATTTCTTGGGCATATCAAACATTATCTAAAACATGTCAACTATAATTATTATTGTATTATTTTTTACAGTACAGTTTAAGGAAATTCCAACGTTATGTAAAAACCTTAAGAAAATACTAAAGTATTTTGTTTGAATAGAAAATTCAGTACAAATCAGTACAAATTTTGAAAAATCAGGACATTAGAGTACTGATTGAAGAAATGAATAAAATCAGTACAAGAGTTGAAAAATAAGTACTGTACTGATAAAATCAGTACGTCTGGCAACCGTAGTAACTACTGAAGATAATTCACTCAAAATTGATATTTACAATAATTTTCGGACGTAAAATAAGAATATTATAAATTTTTAGAAAATGGGCTTAGCGACGCCTACCTATGGTTACATGTGTACATCTTGGTAACCGCTGCACCAATTTCTTCCAAACATGGCACAGTTATTCGCCTTGGTACAGCACACCAAATGAACGAAATTTTTTTTTAATCGGACAACAACCACGCCCATCAGTAAATATTACAGCTAATTTATTCACAATTGATGCTTGCAACAATTCTTTACCAAGAAATACGTTTATGATAAAATTCTGGAAATTTGCGTGCCACCGCCCACTTATGATCACATATATGTATATCGGTAAGCGTTCTACCAATTTGTACCAAACTCGGTATGGTTATTGTCCTTGCCACATAAAAGCAAAGTGTTGAAAATTATTGAAATCGGACTAAAATTACGCAGAAATAATGAAAAATACTTCCCGTGATATTTCTTGAACACTACAATGATATATTTTTTTTTTTATGATCAACGAAAATAAATTTTTGATGTGTATACATCTTTGGTTTCGGTAGGGGTAAAATTTGCGAAG